TTGTTACTACTAGTAAGGCACCTGTTCCTAGAAGCGTGGCACTTGTTCCTAGTAGCTTCTTGTCCGTGTTGAGGCCACCGTGACCTCCACAGAGTCCTTGGAGCTGAAGACGCCAAAACACATCAAGGCATCTGCCTTGGTACCTCAAGTGCCTCACCCAACAGCGCCGAAGGACTCTCGGTACTTCTATATATGTGCTCTTAGGTTGGAGACCATTGAAATCATTTGTGTGGTTGTGAAGTCAGACTTCTCATGTTTATCATGTTTTGGCCTTGGCCTTTGGCTGGCCTTGAGCTGTTATTGTAACGGCCAGTGGCTTAGGATAATTTACGACCCTTTATGCCTTCAGCGGCGCCAAAGATGTTGATCCCAGCGAAGGCGCTCTCCTCTTAAGCTCTTTGCGACCTTTCTAGATTGAAAAAGACCAATAGTAGTGGCAAGGTTGTTGAGTCCAGTGCATTTCTGTCTTTCTCAAAGCCTCAAAAGAAAGTCCGAAAAGAAGAATAAGAAGAAGAAGAAGACGAAGAAGAAGAAGAAGAAGAAAAGTACAAAGAAATAGAAATGAACAAAGATATAGAACCCTCCTTTAAAGCTGGCCTCAGCGGTCTTACCTACCTTGTTTCAGCTCTTTTTGCTTCTTTGCGGACTCCTTATCAGGCAGCCCAGGTTGCTCCAATCTTCTCCGACACTGAGTCGCAGGAGGCCTGGCGGCCAAGTGCCTTCAGTGACAGTCTGGCGTTCTTCAAAGAGTTTTTGAACAAATCTTTCTTTGCCTAAGAGCAAAGGGCATCGCTACTAGGAGCAAGGATGCTACTAGGGGCTCCTGGCCTTACTACTAGGAGCAAGGACGCTTACACCATGTGAGGTTTGCTTTCTTTCTTTTGCTTTGGACCTTTAGATCTTTCTCTGCCGGTTGGTCAAGGCTGTCAGCACGCCGGCAGTGACGGGCACAACAGGTGTCACAGCTGTCAGCCCTGTCGCTGTCACCCACGTGCCCATCCCGATTCCGCAGACAGAGGCGCACCAAAAAGCGGTGGCCTCCAACCTACTAGCTTCTTGTTACTACTAGTAAGGCACCTTGCTACTAGTAGCTTCTTGTTACTACTAGTAAGGCACTTGTTACTAGTAGCGATGCACTTGTTACTAGTGCAATTTGATCTAAGACACTACTAGCGGTGAACAGGGTGTTGACCACGACTACAGGGTGTATCACTGTCGCTTTCAGTGTGGCCCTTCCCTTTTTAGGCCTGCGACTACCCCCAAAGAACACTATCAGTTTCCTGTTTCCTTTTCACGATTTCAGTGTTGGTCTTCACAGCATGTGCAGACGCTGCTTTGCCAAGGACACGGCTTCTGTTTCAGATACTGCAAGCCAAGTGCCTTCTCCTGCACAACATCGGCACTATTCCGTGAATCAGGACGTGAGAAGAGTGAGAGAAGAGTGACAGAGAAAGTGAGAAGTCGCACTAAGTGCACAGGAAGCACTCAAAAGCAAGAGTTCAGAGACTGATCCTGTGACGTTTTGAAAACCTGATTCTGTGAGGACAGCAAAAGACGTGGAACCAAGGACAGCCAAAGAACTTCGAAGACCTCCAAGACTTCAGGAAGTAGCAGCACTTCGACAAGTTCAGCGAGCTTCGCTAGTTCCAGTGAAGCTTGGTGCCAAGTAGACCTTTTTCTTTTCATTTTGCTCTCTTAGGTTGGAGGCCATCGCTACTAGTAGCTCCTGGCACTACTACTAGTAGCTCCTGGACACTAGTAGTAGTGTTTTTGAAAAGGCCATCGCTTCTGGTTTTACTAGTAACAAGAAGCTACTAGGAGCAAAGGGCATCGCTACTAGTAACAAGGACGCTACGAACGGGGCTCCTGGCCGTACTACTAGGAACAATGGTTGCTACTAGAAACAAGACATACATAGAGTTAGAATTAATACTAATTTAAATCTAATTAGAAGTTAATTAGAATTGAATCAAGAAGCTACTAGGAGCAAAGGGCATCGCTACTAGGAGTAAGGATGCTACTAGGGGCCCCTGGCCTTACTACTAGGAGCAAGTAGCTACTAGTAACAAGAAGCTACTAGGACCTTTTCATAAAAAAACAGAAACGTGCAAAGCACCGCTGTGCTCCGCTGCAAAGCACAGGATGGCGAGGCTCCAAGAGTTGCACTTCCAAACAGTCACGCGGCCGAAGCGTTTTGGAAACGCTTGGACGTAGGACATGTAGGACGTAGAAAAAGACGCTTGGACGTAGTAGATTGTTCATATTTCCAGGTCTTTTTTAGTTTCTATTACTGATATTTTTTACATATGCATTTATATGCTTTTATGTACAAATGTTGTTTTCCTTTGACATAATTTATTGTGCTTCATCTTTTCCCAAGCTCCAATGTTTGGACAAAAACACACACGTTGATATTACATGATATTCTTTTGACCTTTGTATAAAGTGCATTAACCTAGAACAGGCTGAGCAACACAGTATGCATTTGTCTGACTTTGTTGCACTGCTGCCCAAGTTCAAGAATGTTTGGTACTTGCTAACTATTCCAGCTTTGAAGGGTTTTGAGTTTCGGCAAGGTCGATTGACAATGAAGAGACCGAGCAATGCTTCAATTTCTCTATTCTTCAGAAGAGAACCTGCTGTTTCTCGAATTTGGCTGTTTTTGCAGGAGAGCAAAACAGTTGAGCAAAGAAACCTGTTCTTGGTGCAAGACAGTCAAGTGCAGTCAGGACCCAGACTCCAGCGCAGCAGCATGGTACTATGCAAACATCATGAATTATTTTATCACCTTTACGATTATATTCACAATCTGGCAAGCAGCTGCAGACCCGCCGGTCTCGCGCTTGATTGAAGGAATCATGCAAATCTCGGTTGAGGCCAGCCGTTGAAGCGAAAAGGGAAACCGTTGATCTAGATTGCTGCTAGAATGGTTTTTGTGCTGAAGCATTGCGAAGCCGCAACATTTCAGGTGTTTGATGCGTACACAGTCATACGGTATTCCCAAACCGGCCTACGGGTAGTCCAGGTAGCGGGCAGGGCAGACGGACAGACGGGCAGATTTGCATCGTCCTTTAGCCAATTTGTAGAAAAGAACAACGATGTTTTCGTTTGGGCTGTGCGAAAGCGGACTGAGGGAATTTTCTTCGTGGAATTTATGCTTCACTGGTGCTTCAGTGCCGAAAGACTTGTGGCGCAGCAAGCATTTGGCAATTCCTTTGTGCAAGCTTTGGCGTTTTGGGATGTTGCGCACAATCTATACAATGATGTGGCAGTGGCTGCATATGTTTATGCTTTCAGTACATTTCTTGCCTTTGCTTTCTGCAAGAAAATTTTCATCAGGCTTTCTTGAAGAATCCCTACAACATTATTGATTTCTTGGCCATCATCCCGATTGGCTTCCGCATTGCCTACGGCATCAGCACACCTGAGATGGACTCCAATTATGCACCGGTGCACTTCCTGCTCTACTGCTTTGTCCCAGTGATCCGTCAGTTGAAGCTGATCCGAAAATTTCAAAAGCTGCAGCTGCTCCTGCTCCTGAGCTGAGCAAACACATGAAAAACGGAAAGGACGCACAAGCAAACAAAACCAACGAACAAACACAAGCACAAACACACGAACAGACACAGTAGAGGCAGAACACACAACACAAAAGAAGCACAAAAAACCAAAGCTGGAAGCGAAATGACTTCGTTTTTGAAAGCCAAGGCATGTTTTGTCGACGACCTTTGATGCATTGAAGCTCTTGCTTTTTTTGGTGTGCCTAATTGTTGCTTAGTAGCAAAGAGCAAAGCAGCCAGTTGCAAATTTGTGCTTTGTGTTTGTTTCAAACTGTCCGAAATGAATCAGACTTGAGTTCGATGTGCTTGGGTAGAAGTCGAGGTTCTTTTCTTTGGCTGTTTACTTTACGTCTTGGAGCCACAGCAAACGCAGTCTCTTTCGGAATATATCTATCAATGCACGGTGACGGTCACCACAGTCGGGACTTGTGACGCAGAAGCAGAGCAGAGGGCTAAAAACAAAGGAAAGAAGGAGACAGAACACATAGTAGCATATCATTAAAAATGGAACCTAATAGCAATGGCCTCCACCCTAGTGGCGCTGGCCTGAGTTGACTGAGTTGACCGTTGATTCCACACTTCGACGATTCTACTGCTGTATGGGGCACGAGCGATCGACAGTTCAGATTCGATCGTTTTGCACTAGCTTCTTGTTCCTAGTAGTAAGGCCCTTGCTGCTAGTAGCCATGCACTTGTTCCTAGTAGCTTATTGTTTCTATCTATATTAGTGCATCGCTAGTAGTAACAAGAAGCTATTAGAATTAAAATTAGTAGCTTCTTGTTACTACTAGTAAGGCACTTGTTACTACTAGCGATGCACTTGTTATATTTAGATTTGCTTATAATTCTATTTATTTCTTGTTCCTAGCAGCAAACATTGTTCCTAGTAGTAAGGCCAGGAGCCCCGTTCGTAGCGTCCTTGCTCCTAATAGCGATGCCCTTTGCTCCTAGTTGCGTCTCTTTCAGCGAGGTGACATGGCTCCTACCACTTGGCCCGGAAAAATTATCGCAGGAATGCTTTGTGTCATAAGTGTTCTATTCATGGCAATGCCCATTTCTGCTCCTTTGCTGCAGGTATCAATTGAGCATTGGAAAAGTAGTAATGGCCTCCAACCTAAAAGCGATGGCCTCCAGCCTAGTAGGGAGGGGAGGTGGGCTAAAAAATGAATAGCAGACAACTGCACTTGTTCCTAATAGCTTCTTGTTTCTACTAGCTTCTTGTTACTACTAGTAAGGCACCTGTTACTAGTAGCGATGCACTTGTTTCTACTAGCTTCTTGTTCTAGGTGCTGGGCAATGCGATGTCCAACACTTGGGCGGACCGGCACCGTATTTTGCTCATGACACAGACTCGTCGCAGATTAAAAAATTTGGGATACACGGCAGGTGGGGGTCTTAGAGTCTTGGAGTTTGCACTCTTGGAATTTGGAGTCAAGAGCTCAAGAGCCAGACGTTTTGTCCAGACGTTTTGCCTGCGCCCAGAAGACATGCCGAAGCTCTTTAAGAAATTTGACAAAGATGGTAACGGTGATTTGGAAATGGAAGAATTTTGTGAAGCTCAGCGGACATGGAGCGCTTCCCATGCAGATTTGGTAGGTGTAGAAGCATGCAATGTTGAGCTGCACAGTGGTTTGTTGAGACTTGATTCTGTCAGCGAACCTGTCAAGAGGTGACTGCTGGGGGACCAGCTTGACAGATCCAAGGACTTGGTGGCTACCATGAGAGTTGGAATCAAGCCCTCCGAGGTACAAAGAACGTGCTTAAAACTCTTTGCTTCGTCAAGGGGAGTTCCGGATGAACTAAGAGCAATGGCCTCCAACCTAGAAGTGTCCTTGCTCCTAGTAGCGATGCCCTTTATTCCTAGTAGATCCTTGTTACTAGCAGCGATGCCAGGAGCTACTAGTAGCGATGCCCTTGCTCCTAATAGCAATGGCCTCCAACCTAATGGCGTGTTACAATGGAGGGGCAAAAAAAGGTACGTGCTATGTCCACGGCATTAGATTGACAGGGGCATAAAGGGGACAAATAGGGACCTTCGAAGCGTGAGCGGGGCGGTTGGGCTGGGGTGTGCAACGAATTTCCATATGTAATACACAGGTCTTGTCAAGTTTGAAACAGGGCTTTAAACATGAACAAACCATTGCTAGCAGAAGTAGTTTTTGGATCAGCAAAATGTATGAGACTTGTTACACTGAGACGTGACGCAATGCGAACATGCAGCCGCAACGCGCTTGATTTTGAAGTATAACAAGTCACATGACTCTTCACAAATACTTCACAAGCCACCAAATACATCCAAATACCACACACCACATGCTGGACAAATCGGCACTTCCCATTCCAATTTGCTCACCGACCCTACTGGTGATGGGTAGTTGAGGATCGTGATATGTCCGAGTTTTGCCTGTACGCTTGACCGCAGGCGTCAGAGCTCTTCATGGCTTTCGACTCGAATGGAGATGGCGGCATCAGTGAGATGGAATTTATGAAAGCGTTGTTCCCCCTGGACTACCGGCGGATCTACCGGAGGATGTCCGGCATGACCTTCGGCGCGTAGGTTTCACCCGGACACTTAAAGTGCCAAGACACGGTGAACAGAGTCAAGTTCTGACTGCATGGAGCCCATTGGGATCGTTCGAACGCGCAGTACAGGCGCAAACAGCCTCGCTCAAAGTGAGGGGATATTCGTTCGCAGAACTCGATCTGCAAGTGGCCATGTTTTCCCTCAGCTTTGCACCAAAGTGCTTGCAAAACTCAGCTGCGTGGTCAGTGCGTGAGCAGAAACGAGCGGGTGACTCCGCATTTCTTCGTTCTTCTCTTGGTTGAAAGGTTCTAGACCGAGTGGAAATTCTTCACAGCTGAGCCGCAGCAAGTGCTCTAAAGTATCACAAAGGGCAAGTGTTTTGGAGGTTTTATGTATCAAAGGGCAACAGCCTCGCAGAGAAAAGAACACAATTAATATTCATTGGATTCCATCAATGTTGGCTGCAACACAAGTGCCAGACACTGGCCTGAAGGTGGGACTTTCTGCATCGTTTACACTTGTGTATGAGTCAAGTTCAAGTTAATAGTAGCGTTCTTGTTACTACTAGTAAGGCACTTGTTACTAGAAGCGATGCACTTGCTACTAGTAGCTTCTTGTTACTAGTAGCGTTCTTGTTACTACTAGGAAGGCACTTGTTACTAGAAGCGATGCACTTGTTACTAGTAGCTTCTTGTTACTAGTAGCGTTCTTGTTACTAGTAGCGTTCTTGTTACTACTAGTAAGGCACTTGTTACTAGAAGCGATGCACTTGTTACTAGTAGCTTCTTGTTACTAGTAGCGTTCTTGTTACTACTAGTAAGGCACTTGTT